AAATTTGATCATTTTTCTGAACTGAACCGACCCGAACCGTACCGAACGGTACCGAACCCGAACGGTTCCATAATTATATTTGGACCCGATGGGTCCATTTATTAAATACCCGAAAGTTTTTAGTCGGTTCGGGTCTCCTCAGAACCGAACTGAACCGACCCATGGACAGCCCTAGTGTGGTGATGACCATTCGGTGGTGGACGTGTGCGGTGCGGTGGTGGACGTGTGCGGTGCGGTGATGTGCTTTGTGGTACTGCAGATGCAGTGGTGGTGCATTGACTGGTGTGCTGATGTGTGCAGTGGAGGTGGTGGTGTGAGTTGCGCGCGGTGGTGGTATGGTGCGGTGGAGGTGGAGGTGGATGTGCAGTAGTTTATTTGACGGTGATGCTGTGTCGTGGCGGTGGCGGTAAAGGTGTGGTGGTGAAAATGTCGGCATTGGAACAGAGATTTTGTTGCTGGGATGTGGTGGTGTTGGTATTGGTGTTGACGATGGTGGTGTTGTGTTGGTGGNCGGCATTGGAATGAGGATTTTGTTGTTGGGAAGTGGTGGGGTTGGTGTTGACGAAGGTGGTGATGTGTTGGTGGTGGTCACAAATTGTGACCAATAAATTTGGTGGTGTGTGACCAATAATAATAAATTGTGACTAAGAAATACTCTTGTAACTCAAAAAATTATTAATTTGTGACCTAAAAATTATTAATTGTGACCAATAAATTGATAAATTGTGACCTAAATAAGTATTGTGACTTACAAATTTTGTGATTTGTGACCGATGAAAAAATTGTAACTTTTAAATTTTTAAGTTGTGACCGATAAACAAATTGTGACCTATGAAAATTTTGAATTGTGACATAAAAAATATTGAATTGTGACCAAATTGTATAGATCTGTGACCTTAACATATTTGCCGGAATCGAATCAGTCGTCGAAAAAGTTGTCGGAACGGTCGCCGAAGAAAAGTGATTATCGGAAAGTCGATTGGGGTGGTGGAGGTGGGGTGGGGTAATTATATTATATTAGAATTAAATATTTAATAATAAATTGATTTAATAATTCATTATTTCATAAATAAAAAATTAAAAAACCTGATTTGTGAAATTTGAAACTTGTTTTTGTATTTTTGAAAATGTG